AAAAAAAACACTAAAAAAAAGAAAAAAAAAAAGCTGAAAAAGTGACGAAAAAAAAGCCTGTTTTCTTCTATAAGACATTTTATTTGCTTTCCGTATATGAAAAGAGTTTTGTCTGCTCTCTGTCAGCCAAAAGGTTTGCTTCATTGAGCACTGGGGTAATAGTAGATCCAACAGCATGCTACTATTAATTACAGCAGAATAACAAACAAAACAAAACAAAACAAAAAAAAAACCTGCATTAAGTAATGTTACTTATAGAAAGAAAGAAATACTGTGATTTTAAACCAAATATATTATTAATCAAAGGTCAGCTTGTAATCACTAAGAGCTGCCATTTCATTATTTTCCAGATATTAATTGTTCTAGTTATCCCTTAGAAAATGGGTATAGGTTAGCTGAGGCTTTGAACCCAATACTCTATTTAAAATCTAAAAAAAAAAAATTAAAAAAAAAAACTAAAAAAAAAACAAAAAAAAAAACAAAAAAAAAAAGATTTATATTAGTTTAAGTTAATGGGGCAAATATTATAGCAGATATCTGTAATGAAGCAAGGAAGAGATCTAGCTGGAAAACAAATGCCACTAATAAAAGTGCAATCAGTTTTCACCTCTATTTTTTAATGTTGATTTTTAAAAGATGATTTATTTCTTTTTTTCCCCTCAATTTTCTCCCTTTTCTTCTCCTCCTCAAAAAGAACCCTGATAAGCTTCTAGCAATACCTTGTTAGCATTGCTTTTAGAGTAAGGTTTGTTCTTGGACACAGAGATTACTTTCAGGGAGGAATTTATCTGCTGGATGGTTTAAAGTGGTAGGAAATAGGAAGGACATAGCAAAAGCATGGAGTTCATCTCTAGTTGCTTTTATTGACTCCATTGTTCAGGATGGAGGAAACAAGGCTGATGCAAAGTCCATTATGAAGTCAAGCACATGATTTGGGTTACAGCCATACTACACATGGCTATTAGATATGAATGTCTATATAGACAGTCATGGCCTTGAAGTCTTTGACTGGTAATGAACAAGAGTGCTGTCAGTGCTGGAGCTGTTGCACCCATTCAGACAGAAGCAAATGGCCTCTTTTGCACTGAATTCCTATCAGTTTAGTCAGGGTCACTCTGCCTCTTCTCTTCTTTTGATTTTTGTTGTGTTCAGTTGGCACAGCATAGACTCAGGATTGATGCGGAAAACAAATGTTTTTCCTAGACTCCGGGGATTCTGAAAATGAGAACATGTGTTCTACAGGTATTACTGGACTCTAAATAAGAGCCATGTCAAGAGAAAAAGAATTTCAGCCAAACTACACTCATCCTTTGGGCCACATCCTGGTCCCAGTTAAATGAAGAGAAATGAGTCAAAGAAATGTTGTGATAAGGAACTAAAGTCCTGACTCAGTAAATTGTTCAAGCATATGCTTATGCTAATCCCAGCAAAAGTTATCTTCAGCATGTGCTAGACTCCCATTGATGCATCCGGCATATGCATAAAGTTGAGCATGTGCCTGAGAGTTTTGCTGAATATAGTGTCCTAATGGTTTGAGACCTGAAAGCAAAGTCTAGTAAATGAAGCTCTTCAATAGGAGGATGAAAATTAGCTAGTTTCTTATGGTAGAGATGAAGTGCATCACACTATTAAGAATGTGGAGGAATCCATCTAACCACCTTCAACATAAGAAGAACAATAAACTTAGAAAAGGAGGAAAATGATGACAAAGTTGGGTGCTAGGATGTTGCACCAACATCCTAGTTGGTGCAAAAGATCAGAAAGCTACTACAGCTTTGGGCTACATGGTGGCTGAAATAGCACTGCATATTTGAGAAGTCTGTGGCATACCGCAGAGCTTGGCAACTACAAACTGTCTGGACTCAAGTCCCTTTGCCATTTTTTCCCTAGTTGGCATGTACTTGAACACACTTTGCCTTTGCAGACCGGAACAAAAGATCTGTACAAATTCTACATACCATACATTTATTTTCATCCCCTTAGTCATGCCTATTTATCTGCAGTCCCATGCAGCAGTTACTCCATCTCCCCAGTAACTATAGCTGAGTAGCACAGTGAGCCGGGTGAACTTTATGCAGACCACCAATTTCCAAAGGATTTGTGCTCTTGAGTTTCCAGAGGCACTTGAAAACCTATTCTTTCAGTAAGGCTTCTGATACAGCAACAATCTTGCAAGACAGACAAGGCAGAAAAAAAGAAAGCAGAGGAACAAGAGACTTGTCCCCAAATCACCCATTTTAGTGGCAGAATAGAGATTATCATGCAGGGCTTCTGTAATCTCCTCCAGTATAGATTGCCTACAAGGCCAGCTCACACACAGGGGTCTGTGATACCCCAGATAGATTAATCAGGAAGGAAAGGTAGCTTGCTTTGAAGTGGAGTGAATTATTTGACTACCAAATAAGGTCAGTACAAAAGGAAGCAGCAATCATGTGCCTGGGAGCTGGATACGCACGATTTATTCTGTGTGGATCTAGCGGAAAATGTCACATCTCTTCTGTTGCAGTGCCTCAAAGTGTTGTGCAGTCTCTGCTCCACCCCCAGGTACATACAGTAGTGTGTTGTAGAGTAAGCATGAAACTAGGCTGGGGACTTCACATGGACCTAGGAACAAGAAAATACAATTGGGGATATGGCTGCCTAAGCCCTTAGGTCTTTGGGGAGAACCCAGCCTTACAGCACAACTCATGCAACAGTGAGTTATGGGAGTTGCCCTAGCTTGGCACTCACAGAAGTGGGAGCAGGACACAGCCTCTCCCCTCTGGACTTGTTTTTAGCTTACTGTGAGGATGGTAGGCATTGTCCACATCAGACAAATCTGTACCCCAAAGTTAGCAAGTCTGCATGGCCACAGGTTCTGCTGGCGGGCTGCAGCCATCTCCAGCTGGCCTAGGTGCTGCGGACTGCAGTAATGCAGAGCAGAGCCAGCAAGTGCCTATGGGGAAAGCCAGCTCCCCTGGAGGATGTTCACTTCATTTACCCGGACCTCTGAGCTAGGCAGTCTCAACATACTTGTGCCAGGTTGTTCAGATTGTCCTTGTTTATTTCCATGTCATTTAATTTGAGCTGTGAGCTTTCCCTGTGTTTATTTATATGCAGAAGTTCTCCAGGGTAAAAGGCTTCCTTTAAGGGTATATATCTGGAAGATGTTGTTCACAACCTGGTGCAGCCTGCCTGTTCAGCTGGTATAGAACATTGTGGCTCCACAGAAGTTTTATTGTAACAGAGAAAAACCTACTCCCTCCTCTTGGCCCATGTATTCCCTTCCTCACTTGAGCCACCCCAGCACCCACAGATTTGAGAGATCAATCACTGCCTTTATCAGGAACCAGGGAAGCTCAGTCCTTCAAAACAATACTGCATTTCCCTACTTCTCTCACACACACCACAAGCAGTTACCTGAACATCCAGGATAGCAAACTTGTGTTCCCTCAAAGAACACATCTCAACCTGTTGGACACTTCCTGGCTCTGCAGTGTGGCTACATACCATCAGCTGGGACTTACTTCTAGTAAGAAACAAAAAAAAAGCACCTATGAAATGCTGCAGAGAAGGGCAGACAAAGAACATGGCCAATTATCATCATTTGTAATTCTCTATTCTATTGTAAATACATCTTGTACATACTTGGATGTTTTCATCATTTACTGTCTTTATGGATTATGTGTTAAATGAGACTCTCTTAGTTTATTGTGTAACACTGTAAATAACATAACGTCCTTTATTATTTATGCATAGTCATCTAACACGCGGAGAAAGTTATCCTCATATTATTTTAAGATATATGTCAAAAATATGTTGCATTTTTCTTTTTGCTTTGAAAAAAAATTGTAATATATCCTCTTTTTCCCCTCTTTTCCTTTAAATGAAAAAAAGAATGCTAATTTATTGTTCAGGAGAGAAAGGGGATGTAACTGAAAGGCAAACTGTTCAAAGAACATGCTATGGAAGCCACAAGCTACTGATAAACTAAAGAATTTATTATCCCAAATACAGCAATAAGTAATTGTTGATTTATTAAGGTTTTGTTTGTCATTTTAAGTAAAAGAGGTGCTGGATTAAATTGCTCATGTGTTGTACTGGCACAGCTGCTCAGCAGACTGTGTCAGGTCACTAGCCACCATCTTTCTGGATTCAAATGTTATCGTAAAGATCTTGTTTTGCCTAGTTCCATGTCTGCTATGGAGGCTTTATGCATTGTGGGCCACTGTTCCCTGTGTTTTCTAGTTTTTCCTATGGAGGTCTCTGGCAGACATTTCTGTTCCTAGGTAAAACAATCTTAGTTTCTTAAATTAGAATGTTTAGATTTGCCATGACCATTGTCACCAAGGTGGGGTGGCAGGGGAGGTGGGAGAGTGGGGGCTACTCTGTGAATGTCACCTCAATGCTCAGCAACAGTCAAAATAAACAAATGCTAGGAATTATCACAGGGCATCACCATAACACAGTATAAATTCATGTTTAAATGTAATCACTGGTTCTGGTCTTCTTGTCTCAGAATAGAAATAGTATGACTGGGAATGGTTTGGAGAGCAAGAAGAGTGGACAGATACC